ATGTGTTTTATTCAATGTAAAACTGTGCGCACTAAACAGAGCTGTGCACTTTCTAATAATTATCACTGTATCACCGTATCACTGTCATCCCATTGCTCATCGATTTACTCGAGTGGGCACCAGTCATGTCTCCATTCGTCCCAGTCCTGAGATTTTAGCAGCCTCTCCTTACTCGTCTTTCCCAACGGTGCCATATTGGGGGCTCTGGGTTCTAATAATTATAGAAAAAATATTTTAAAAAGACGTTAAACTGAAGACATAATACATGGGCTAAGGCGCTTACTTTGCAGTGTAGTTGCCTCTGTTTTGATCCACTGGGCCACTTACGGTCTCCTGGAGTAGGCCTCCTATGCCGCAAAACCAAAACAATTTCTTAATTTAGAAATTCATTAAAAAAATTAAAGCTGAATTAGTGTTTGGCAATGACAGGTAGTCTAGATAGTCCAGGATAATTAAATAAATTACTTTCTCCAGGTCACTTAACACAGCCCATATGTGTATATCAAGCAGTAAAAATGTTTATCCTAGCAAACCCAGTTACTTCCAACCAACTCATTTACTCCATTGGTATGAGGCATCCCAAGTTCTAATGTGATTTTGGCCAGAAAGATCTCGGTTTATTAGTCCTCTATCTTACCTATAAACAAGTATAGGTAAGAGCATGTACCTTAATTTTACTGTTTTTGCATGTGTGAAACATATTGTTTATTCTTAGTCCCTCCTCAATTGTCACTGGTATTTGTGATCGTTAATAAGGTTCTAGGAACTCCATGTATTTATTGTATTCTCTTTATTTTTACCACCAAGATCATCCTGTTGTTCATCGATTACCTCGAGCAGGCACCAGTAACGTCTGCTTCATCCTAGCCCTGAGATTTTAAAAAGTGCCATATTCAAGGCTCTTTCGGGGTTAGGAGAATGAGTCCCATTATTGTTACTGGTATTTGTCATATTGGGTATGCCACGGGGAGTTTGCCAGACTCTGCTGCGTGGGCAGGCTACACTCGGTAGCCTGCCAGGTTGTCCAAAGCAAGAATGAGATAATAAGATGTTGCGTGGCCGCGAATGCGGCTGCACACTTCCTGAAGCTGGGTTTTATAGTCTCTGGGTCTTGGCCATTGATGATATTACACAGTGCCGGGGGTGGGGGGCTAGGGGGGGCAATTGTTGGCTGTGACCTTTGCCTACTGGAAGATGGAGGACCTGGGTGGAGGATGCTCAGCCCTGATCCGAGCAGGCTTGGAGATCTCAGCCCCGGGACCCGCATGCCTTTGTTCCTTTGCTGGTACCTTCATGCATGTGAAGAGTGGTCTCAGCATGGTGGTGGCTGGTCCTGGAGGTCTACGGCTTAATTTTTAGCCATCTCTCCTCATTTCACTGTCGTTGCTGCTGAGGCAACGTGGTGCTGCACACAGGCCTGGGTGTAGTTCCTCTACATACAGTTGTGGGACTCATCCAGCATCTCACTACAGCTTGTGGTATTTACCCAGTTGCCCTTGCTGCTTGATGAGGGTAGTTCTCTTTCAGTTGCACTGTTCATATATAGACAAGCTCTATGAATCACACTTCTTGTTGTGGTGCTGTCAGGGCTTGCACCCGTTTCATTATGTTGCTCACATACTCCTGACTGCATTTTACCCAAACATTTCTGGTGGCACTGAAGGACAGCACGTGCCAGGACAAGCAGGGGAGTCACCAGGATGATGCTCAGTGCACATGGTAGAGGGAATGGAAACTGTGACCTCATGCTTGGAAGGCAGCTATTCTCAGCTGCTGTTCTATTCCCTCAGGCCCGCTACAAGTTCCTTGAACTTTGTGATAGTTTTTTTAATTAGTGAGACATCATGAGGTACAGTTGTAAACTTACAAATTTTTGTGCTTGGGTTTCAATTATACAATGATCAAATAGCCATCCCTCCACCGGTGCCCATTTCCCACCACCACGGATCCCAGTATCCCTCCCACCCCCCCATCCCCCAATCCCACCCTGCCTCTGTGGCAGGGCATTCCATTTTGTTCTCACTCTCTTACTGGGTGTTGTGGTTTGCAAAAAAGGCAATAGATGACAATCATGTTTGGTTTATAGTCTACTTTCTGCATGCTTCTCCCATCCTGGGAGGATCCTCCCAACACCTTTATTTGGTGTTCCCTTCTCTATCTGAGCTCCCTTTAAGGCTTTTCATCTACTAAACTCGAATACTCTGAAGACTACCTTATTTCATAAGAAACTTAAACATAGAAAGATGGTAAACTACAAATTGTTAGTAAAGTATTAATGGAATATATTGTGGGTTTTTTTATGGTAAGGATTTTTAACATCTTTTATTTTATTTATTTATTTATTTTTATTGTTGTTACTGTGTCTGGCATACGAATACTCTTGGTAGCTTGCCGGGCTCTCCGAGAGGGGCGGAGGAATCGAACTCGGGTCGGCCATGTTGGCTCCGTGCAAGGCAGACGCCCTACCTGCTGTGCTTGAATCACAGTGAGATACACAGTTATTAAATTGTTGAGTTTCAGTCACATTTCAACACCCATCGCTTCACTAGTGCACATTTCCCATCTTCAAAATCTTCACTTTCCCTCTCGCCTGCCCCATCCGCCTCTGTGGCGGACACTTTTGTTCTTTCTTTCTATCTCTCTGTCTCTCTATCTCTGTCAGTCTGTCTCTGTCTCTCCATCTCTGTCTTTCTCTGTGTCTCTGTCTCTGTCTCTCTCTCTCTCTCTCTTTCCTTTGTGGCATTATGGTTTGCACTACAGATGCTGTAAGATTATCATGTATATCCTTTTACCTCCTTTCAACACTCAGTTCTTGTCCAGAGTAATTTTTTCTATTATTGTTAGACTGGTTCGTTCTCTATCCTAACTGCGCTTTGCCCTCCCCACACTTGTGGAAAATCCTAACCATTGACTAATCCTCCTGGTGTGAGTAAGGGCTTTTAAACAGATCAAGAATTTTAGTGATTCAACCTTTGTACACTCTGTACCTCCACATGTCTGGTCCACAGACAGGCAGTTACAAACCAGGTAGTAGATTTGTGACTTTCTAAACGCACAGACTGAAACTAGTTCATAGACCAGTGGTTGGTGATCACTGCTTTAAACACAAGGTATGCTTTCTTATTAATTTATATTTCTTTTACACTTATCTTTTCTTCATTTGCCTTCCCCTTGATCTCCTCTGTAATTATACAAATAAGCCCATTCATTTCTCAGACCCACTCAAGAGCATTCTTGAATTGTTCCATCCGGAAAACTTCCTCTGAGTTTATATAATGCTTTTCTGTTAGTCCTAGTGAGAAAGATAATGTGCAGGAATAAAAATCTTTTTTAATTAATTAATTTATTTATTGAATTACTGTGGGAAAAGTTACAAAGCTTTCAGGTTTAAGTCTTGGTCAAGCAATCATCGAACACATTTCCCTTCACCAGTACTTATTTTTCACCACCAAGAACCCCAAAATACTGCCCTCCCAACCCTTCCAATGCCTGTGAGGCAGATGAATTCTAGTTAACACTCTATCTACTTTGATTAGATTCATTGTTTTGACAAAAGATGCACCATTATTATTTAGAGTTTACACCCCAAAATCAGACCTGCTGAAAAGGCATTGTGAAATAATTTCTTTTCTACAGCTGGTTACAAGAACCAAATGATGTCGTGACCGCATGGTTTTGGATTTCTGATATTTTACTTATTAAGCCTGAAGTATTTCTGCTGAGAGTCAGATAATTATAAGATTGGTTTCTGTGGCTCTAGAGCCATGGCTATGACGTAGAGCCGCTCGTGGGGGGCAACTCGTGACCTCGGTAGGGCATGAAGAATGAGCCAGGAATGCCCCCTTTCCCATGAGGTTTCAGTCGCCCTTTCACGACCGGCTCATACCTGGCTTTCCAGAAAGCTCCGAGGTGGCTGCCATCTTGCTGTCCAGCTAAAAATCTTAATAAATATGGAATCACTTACCAGGTATGGCCCTGAACACATTTACTGACCACTTATACAGCCCCTTTATAAAGGAGGATCTTCCACTTTATTTTTAATCTTCCCCTTTAAAATGAAATATGCTCTAAGTCTCGAACATGTAGCCAGTGTATAAAATGAGTTTGTGTTTTATTTGGAGATATTTTTATGCTTTGTTTTTATTTATTTTATGTTTTATTGTTTGGGGGCCACACTCAGCAATAATTTCTCCCTGTGCACAAAGAATTCATTCTTGCAGGGGCTCAGAAGACCAAATGTGGTCCCAGGGATTGAACTGGGCTTAGATGTGTGCAAGGCAAGTGCCTATGTGATGTACTATCTCTCCAGATCTTGCTATTTACTTTTATAAAGCTTCACTATGATCATTTACATTCTTATATATACTTTCTAATATACTTTCATATTTGTCGCTATTGTTTATTGAATCTTTGCTTAGCCAGACATAACAGGATTCAAAGTCCTGTAGTTATGGTTGGGGAAGAGTGGAGCTTTCTGGATATATTATTTGTAAAATGAGTAAACACATAAAGATTAGAATAAATACATCTGCATGTGTGTTACATGAACTTTGAAAAATGTTAGTAATTGTTGGGTCTTGGTTTATTTGTTGTGGCATTATAATTTCAATTTTCATATTTGCATGTACTTTTAACGTTATTTATTCACAGAAGGAATGACTTAAGGAACTTCATGATTGTAGGGCTGGTGTGATAGTAAAGTGGGTATGACAAATATTTGCCTTACACAAAGCTGACCTGGTTTCGAACCCTGGCATTCCATATGGTCCCCTGAGCCCCTTTAGGGGTGAGCCATGAACACAGAACCAGGACTAAGCCCTGAGCACCACCGAGTATAGCCCCCCCCAAAAAAAACAGAAAAAAAGCAAAAGAACTTCTTGTTTGTTTAAATATGAAAATAAGACAGCACCTCCGACTTGAACGATACCTCTAGGTCCTTGGTGATGAATTTGAGCCGGTGCCTCTAACTCTGACACCTTCCTTTCTTTTCTTTTCTGTAGTTTGTTGCCCAGCCCAATTGTCAACAGCTGCTGGCCTCTCGCTGGTACGATGAATTCCCAGGCTGGAGAAGACGCCACTGGGCGGTGAAGATGGTGACGTGTTTCATAATAGGACTGCTCTTCCCTGTCTTCTCTGTGTGCTACCTGATAGCTCCTAAAAGCCCGCTGGGACTGTTCATCAGAAAGCCATTTATCAAGTTCATCTGCCACACAGCCTCCTATTTGACTTTTTTGTTCCTGCTGCTGCTTGCCTCTCAGCACATCGACAGGTCAGACTTAAACAGGCAAGGCCCACCACCAACCATCGTCGAGTGGATGATATTACCGTGGGTCCTGGGTAAATGTGTTACTATAGAAAATATAATAAAAACATGTTTCTAACGTGGAATTTTGTTGTTCAGACGAGAACATTCCTTGCAGTTCAGAACAAGGGGCTCTTTAGAACAGGTTCTGAGCAGTTTGACTTCAAAACCTAACTCCCCAAGCCGAATAAATATTTTACAGGCTATTGTGGACCTGCTCTCAAATGCAGCCTGTGAAATATGACCTGATGTTTTAGAATCCAGATTTTAATAGTTTCCTATCCTAGGGGCGATTCTCTGAGTTTTTGCTTATATATGAGTCTTTTATATTGGTGGCTGTAACTAGACGTTTTCATTTTCTTCTTAGATAGGTCTTCTAAAAGACAAATACAAATCATTCTGCACAATGAGTGATTCCATACATAAAGCGGCTATCTATTTTTAAATTGATTTAAATTTACCTTTATTTACATATTAAGTCACAAAAATAAGAAATTGAATTAGGAACTCTTCCAATTTTCTGTTTATTTATTTACACTGAAATAGAAAATCATGATAGAAAGCATGGTAGTGAAGAAATTGTTTTCTTCTGGTTATTGTAGCCTTAATTAAAATTTACAGTTTAATTATTCTCTCTTCTATCCTGTTGTGAACTACTGAGAAATCATATTTTCTCAATGTGCTCATCATTTTAAGCCTTTCTAGTATTTTTTATATTCATTTAATGATTTATTAGTTGGAAAATAAGAGCTAAATTTTTTTGATTCATAATCTCAGAAGTTTAAGTTAACTGTTAAATCTAGTGGAAAAAATTAAAAATTAGAAAAAGGAAGAAATTAAAGGACCGTCAGAATCTGAGAAAAATATACTTTCCAGTTTTAAGGATCTTAATACTCTAATTGCTGACAATAAGTGAAGCTCAATGCTAGAGTCAGTACCAAAGGTAAAGCTTGCCTTGCATTTAGCCAGCCCCACAGATCATAGGACTTCCCGAGTGGTCCCTGAGCACAGAGCTAGAAGTAAGTCCTGAGCATTGCCCTTTGTGGCCCCCAATTCAAAAAAGAAAAAGAAAGAAAGAAAAAATTCACAGAAACAATGAACTTTTAATACATTTTATATTCTTCTGAAGAAAAAAATTACTTCTTAATGAAATTTGAAATAGAGTGTTCCTCATTAATCAGATGTACATAATGTAATGCTTTACTTAAATTAGCTGAGAGGTTTAGATTATTTCTAAGTCTTCTTGAATAAAATAGTTATAACATCGTCATTGATATTCAACATCAATTATTCTTTTGATGCTTGATTACCTAACTCACATTAGGACAAGTTATTTGTTAATATTTATTTCTTGTTAAAAATGTGCAGAGAAACAATTCTTTTTTTATTTTTTTTTATTCTGAAACACCATGAGGTACAATTGATGACTTTACAAGTTTTTGTGCTTGGGTTTCAATTATACAATGATCAAGTACCCATCCGTCCACCAGTGCCCATTCTCTACCCCCAATGATCCCAGTAACCCTCCCAACCCTCCCATTCCCCCATCCCATCTCACCTCTGTGGCAGGGCATTCCCTTATGTTCACTCTCTCCTTTTGGTTGCTGAGGTTTGCAAGAGGCATTGAGTGGCAATCATGTTTGGTCTATAGTCTACTTTCAGCATGCATCTCCCATCCTGGGAGATCCTTCCAACACCCTTTACTTGGTGTTCCCTTCTCTGTCTGAGCTGCCCTTTCCCCTAGCATGTGTGGCTGGCCTTCAGGCCATAGAGTGAAACTCCTGGTACTTATCTCGACTATTCTTGGATGTTAGTCTCCTATTTTATTACTTTATGTACCCAGATGAATGCAATCTTTCTATGTCTGTCCCTCTCTTTCTGTCTCATTTCACTTATTATGATACTTTCCATGTAGTACCACTTGTATGTAAATTTCATGACTTCATCTTTTCTAATAGCTGCATAGTACTCTATTGTATAGCTATACCAAAATTTCTTTAACCAATCATGTATTCTCAGACACCCAGGTTTTTTTCCAGATTTGGGCTATTGTGAACAATGCAAAAATGAACATAGAAGTGCAGATGTCATTTCAGCTATATTTTTTGCCTCTCTGGGATATATTCTCAGGAGTGATATTGCTGGACCACATGGGAGCTGAATTTGTAATTTTTTGAGAATCGTCCATACTGTTTTCCAAAAGGGCTGGACCATTCTGCATTCCCACCAGCAGTGAAGGAGAGTCCCTTTCTCGCCACATCTGCGCCAACACCAGTTGCTTTTGTTCTTTTGGATGTGGGTCAGTCTCTGTGGTGTGAGGTGATACCTCATTATTGTTTGGATCTGAATCTCCCTGATGATTAGTGATGTAGAGCATTTTTCATGTGCCTTTTAGCTATTCGGACTTCTTCTTTGAGAAAGTTTCTATTCATTTCATTACCCCATTTTTTTATGAGGTTGGATGTTTTCTTCTTGAGAAGTTCAACCAGTTTTAAGGATCTTAATCAACCAGTACTTTGTATATCCTTGATATCAACCCCTTATCAGATGGGTATTGGGTGAATTTCCTTTACCATTCTGTAGATTGTCTTTGTATTCTGGTCACTAAATCTTTTGAGGTGGAGAAGCTTCTGTTTAAGATAGTCCTATTTTTTTTATCTCTGTTTCTACTTGGCTGGTCAATGGAGTGTCATGTTTGAAGATACTGTTAGCCTTAATGTTGTGGAGGGTTTTGCTGACCTTGTCTTCTATGTACCTTATAGATGTTGGCCTGATGTTGAGATCTTTAATCCATTTTGATCTGACTTTTGTGCATGGTGTTAGATAGAGGTCTAAGCCCATTTTTTTGCATGTGGTTGTCTAGTTATGCCAGCACCATTTGTTGAAGAGACTTTCCTTGCTCCACTTCACATTCCTTCTTCCCTTATCAAAGATTAGACGTTCATACATTTGGGGTTGTGTGTACAGATATTCCACCCTCTTCCATTGGTCTGCATCCCTGCCTTTGTTCCAGTACCATGCTGTTTTAATTATTACTACTTTGTAGTAGAGTTTAAGGTTGTGGAGGGTAATGCCTCCCCACGTCTTTTTCCCAAGAATTGTTTTAGCTATTCGTGGGCATTTGTTGTTCCATATGAATTACAGGAGTGCTTGATCTATTTCTTTGAAGAATTTCATGGGTATCCTTATAGGGATAACATTGAATCTATATAATGCTTTGGATAGTATTGCCATTTTGACAATGTTAACTCTTCCTATCCATGAGCAGGAGATATGTTTCCATTTCCTCATGTCCTCTTTTATTTCATGGACTAGCATTTTGTTGTTTTCATTGTAGAGGTCCGTTACCTCTTTAGTTAGACTGATTCCGAGGTATTTGATTTTCTGGGGCACAATGGTGAATGGCATTTTTTTTTCTGTCACTTTCTTCTGTCTCATTATTTTCATATAGGAAGGCCATGGATTTTTGGGCATTAATTTTATAGCCTGCTACTTTACTGTACAAGACTATCGTTTCTAGGAGTTTCTTGGTAGAGAATTTAGGGTTCTCGAGATATAGTATCATATCATCTGCAAATAGTGAGAGTTTTATTTCTTCCTTTCCTATCTGAATGCCTTTAATGTCTTTTTCTTGCCTAATCACTATTGCAAGTACTTCCAGCACTATGTTGAACAGAAGTTATGATAGTAGGCATCAATGTCTTGTCCCTGATCTTAGAGGGAAGGCCCTTAGTTTTTCCCCATTGAGGATAATGCTTGTCGTAGATGGCTTTGACTATCTTGAGGAAAGTTCCTTCAAAACCCATTTTGGTGAGAGTTTTCATCATAAACGGTGCTGTATCTTGTCAAAAGCTTTCTCTGCATCTATTGATATGATCATATGGTTTTTATTTTTACTTTTATTGATATGATGGATTGTGTTGATTGATTTTTGAATGTTGAACCATCCTTGCATCCCCAGGATTAATCCCACTTCATTGTGGTGTATGATCTTTTTGATGAGTTGTTGGATTCTATTTGCTAATATTTTGTTGAGTATCTTTGCATCCATGTTCATCAGAGATATTGGCCTATAGTTTTCTTTGTTGGTGGTGTCTTTGTTTGCTTTTGGGATTAGGGAGATATGTGCCTCAAAGAAGCTGTTTGGGAGAGTCCTGTTTTTTCAATTTCCTGGAAAAGCTTGAGGAAAACTGGCAGCAGGTCTTCTTTAAATGTTTGGAAGAATTCGCTAATGAATTCATCTGGGCCTGGGCTTTTGTTTTTGGAAAGACTTTTAATTACAGTTTCAATTTCCTTGATATGAATGGGTCTATCCGGGTATTCCAAGTCTTCTTGGTTCAGTCATGGGAGTTATAGGAATCCAGGAATTTATCCATTTCTTCTAGGTTCTCTTGTTTCATGGCATATAGGCTCTCAAAGTAGTCTCCAATGATCTTTTGAATTTCATTGGTTTCTGTTGTGATGTCCCCTTTTTCATTTCTGATTTTGTTCTCTTTATCTCTCTTTGTGAGTCTTGCTAGTGGTTTATCAATATTATTTATTTTCTCAAAGAACCAGCTCTTGATTTCATTGACCTTTCGGATTGTTTTTTGGGCTTCCATGTCATGAATTTCTGCTCTAAGTTTTATTATTTCTTTCCTTTGGCTAGGTTTGTTGTCCTTTTGTTGGTCTTTTTCTAAGATCTTGAGCTGTGTGGTTAAGTTATCTATATAGGCCCTTTCTTCTTTCCTTAGGAATACTTGCAGCCCTGTAAATTTTCCTCTTAGCCCAGCTTTAGCTGCGTCCAATAGGTTCTGGTAGCTCGTGTCTTTATTCTCATTTGTTTTTAGGTATCTTTTGATTTCGTCCTTGATTTTCTTCCTGAACCACTCATTGTTCAACATTGTGTTGTTTAATTTCCAGGTGTTTGATTTGTTTCTCTATGTCTTTGTGTGATTCACTTCTATCTTCAGCACATCGTGGTCTGGAAAGATTGTTGATACTACTTCTATATTCCTGATTCTATTGAGGTATGTTTTGTGGCCTAGCACATTGT